CAATTAGCCTGTAGCAGGACTGCATTCTAGCTGCAGTTGTGTCGATTCTGCAGCAGCTTCAGTCACGTTGAACTGTTGTTCTTGTTCTTCGGCACTGCTGTCAGTTATCTTCACATCCTCACAGCCAGAGCTCCGGCTGGCAGCCAGGAAGGGGAGCTGGAACTGGGTCACAGAACCGCTGCAGTGGGATTCACATGGCTGCAGGGATATCAGGGCAGAAAGCCCAGAACAAACCCAGTGAGCCCAGTCCAGACTCAGAAACTGCAGATCTTCGGTGTGGATCCAGGAAATCCTGCAGGCTGCAGACAGACTGACTTCCTACTGACACAGCAGCTCATAGCAGCCATTGCCATAGCAACCAACAGTGTATGTGGTTTCTGATCAGCCCTGCCAGACCCAGGTCCTCTGCACCTGAAACAGGTGAGAGCACCTGTCCAGCCTGTGACCCGTCAGCCTTCATCCTGCAGCATCGTCTTCCTCCAACCAGCTGATCCGCTTCACATCCATATTATGGGATGTCGTTTCCAACGTTACAGCCGATTCCAGTGGAATATTTTCACCTTCAGAAGTGTCACAGTTTAAATATTTAGCTAGCTAGCGAAATAATTAGTTTGAAGTTAAACATTTAGCTTGGTAATATTTCGGTCACCAATTAGCTGCAGCTCGACGTTTTATTTACGCTGTGACGGTAAATATGGCTGAAACATGAAGCCGAATTCATTTCTGCTCTTTCAGGATAAAAACCCAAAATGTTGCAGTTGCTGTCTGACTGTGATGATCGTCATGATGTGTCTGGTTTTCATCTGAAAGTTTAAACTGCGACTGAAGCTGAACCAGAGTCGGTTCTGATCCAGAAACTTCTGTAGAGGTTCTGGATCAGAGAAGGTTCCAGAACCTCCTGGATCTGAGTCCGGGACATCAGAACTGGACTCTCGGTTTCTTCATTTCTTTCTACATTTTCACTTCATGCCTGCTGCTGGTATTTATTTGATTTCTGCTGGACCCGAGACTGGACTCTGGTTCTGATCCGGTTTCCTCACCGTATGACGTCTTTGTGTCCGTTGCGAGCCGCCAGGTGCAGCGGCGTGGTGTAGGCGGAGTCTGTCGGCTCCTTCCTCTCATCCTCCAACAACGCCGCCACCATGTTGCTGCTCAGGAGCAGCTGGACCACCTGGAGGGGACAGAGGACAGGGGGACAGGTGGACGGGAGGACAGGGAGACGGGCGGACAGAGGGCAGGATGACAGGAGGACGGGAGGACAGGGGGACGGGCGGACAGAGGACAGGAGGACAGGAGGACAGAGGGCAGGAGGACAGAGGACAGGGGGACAGGAGGACAGAGGGCAGGAGGACAGAGGACAGGGGGACAGGAGGACAGAGGGCAGGATGACAGGGGGACAGAGGACAGGAGGACAGGGGGACAGGTCCTCTGATTAAGTCCAACCTGTTTTCTAGTGTCAGGAATAAACTGTAATGTTTTTGTGGATGTCGGATGCCATGTTGGATGTTGGATGTTATGTCGGATGCCATGTTGGATGCAGACACGCGGTGCTGAGACCATGGAGCAGGAAGTGAGTCGGGATAGTTCAGGTTTTTCTGGATCGTTCAGCCAGTTCAGGAATCCAGAAGTGACCTTAATATTCCAGAACATTCCTAAAGTGATACATCCTACCGAGGAGAACAAAACTAAACCGACATGTTTACAAATACGAGCTAATTTCAGGCGGATAGCTCCCAGAACCCGACCTCCCAGAACCCGACCTCCCAGAACTGCTCGCTCACCTTGGCCCGTCCGAACTCACAAGCCAGGTCCAGAGGAGTCTTCTTGGCCCGGTTGAGCAGACACGGGTTGGACTGATGCTGCAGCAGCATCTCCGACTGAAAGCACAAACAGAATCAGATCAGGTTCTGCCAGTGACCCGGCACTAGAGGTTCTCCTGGTTCTGGGATGCTGCTGCAGGATCCTGTGGTTCTGACCCGGTTCTGGCTCTCTGTGAAAGAATCAGCTAATCCTGCTGAGTCGCTTTCCTGTCAGGATCTTCAGGAGCGGATTAAACCGGCCCAACAGAACCAGAACCAGAACTTCTGTTCACTGTAATTCAGCCAGAATCACCAGAATCTCTGGGATTATTAATCCATATTCAAATGTGTTCCTGCAGCGGACCAGAACCGGGTCAGATCCAGAACCCTGCAGAGAGGAAACTCATCTGTCATTATGGGAAGACAAAACCTCAGCGGGCGTCGTCATGGAAACCATCACAATATTAAAACACTACAGCAGAACCTAAGGTCCAGAACCAGGTCTGAACAAAACCAGAACCCAACTCATCACCCGGGTCTGGAGAGGAGAACATGCAGGGTTCTGGTTCTGTGGACTCACCACCTCGTAGTGCCCATACTGGGCCGCCAGGTGCAGCGGGATGTGTCCGTCCATGGAGGCGCCGTTGACCGACGCTCCGGATCGGAGCAGCGTCAGGACGGACTGGGCCTTCCCCTGCCAGGCGGCGTAATGCAGCGGTCGCATTCCTGCAACCATAGCATGCGATCAGAACAGAACCAGAACTGCCGGAACGGGCCCAGCAGAACCTCACCGTTGGTGTCTTTAATGTCGACGGCGGCCTGAGCCTCCAGCAGCGCCGCCAGCAGCTCCGTGGTTCCGGTGAGGGCAGCATGGTGCAGCGCCGAGAAGCTGCAGGTCAAAGGTCACACAGAGACCCCAGGTCAAAGGTCAGTTCATTAAAAGCTGGGAGAAGCAGACATTTTCTCAGCCATAAATGTTGTTCATGATGAAACACGAAGATAAAAGTTTTGCTTAAAGCTAAAATCATTTTAACTTTTTACCACAAAAATATCATTTTTATTCAATTTTCAACTAATTTAAAAACAGTTTTTTATACCAGCTCAACAACATGGGAAAGTGACCAGATTTTACTTAAAACAGGTCTTCAACATGGGGGTGGCGACCACTAGAGGGTCGGGAGATCCTGCGGAGGGGTCATGAGATTTCTGATTAAAAATATTTTATTTTTAAAAATTGAAAATTACGTCTTTAAATAAACATTAATATGAATCCAAGTTGTAAGAAATTAATAAAAAGAGGCATAAAATAAAGATGATGTGATGGACCAGAACCGGTTCAGAACCAAGTCTAACAGAACTGAGATGACTCAGCATGTCTCCGTCCTCCCACAGCTGAGCGGGTCGTACTGAGAGGAAACGGACCTGCGGGCTGCAGGCCGGTTCTGGCTGCAAAGAGCCGGATAAAAGGACGGGGGTGGGGGGACGAGTCTCTCTCTTGTGAAACGCCGGTGATGCGTTCATGTCCAGAGAGCGCCGCCGGCAGCGGCAGTAATGGACGGAGCTCAGAGTTTCAGGTTGAGATTTGGTGAAGCGTCGACGCTCTGATGGCTGAGCTGAAGCAGGAAGCTGGACGAAGCTGAAGCAGGAAGCTGGACGGAGCTGAAGCAGGAAGCTGCATCCAGCAGAAGCAGGAAGCTGCATCCAGCAGAAGCAGGAAGCTGCATCCAGCAGAAGCAGGAAGCTGGACGGAGCTGAAGCAGGAAGCTGGACGGAGCTGAAGTAGGAAGCTGGATGGAGCTGAAGCAGGAAGCTGGATGGAGCTGAATCAGGAAGCTGGACGAAGCTGAAGCAGGAAGCTGGACGGAGCTGAAGTAGGAAGCTGCATCCAGCAGAAGCAGGAAGCTGGACGGAGCTGAAGCAGGAAGCTGGATGGAGCTGAAGCAGGAAGCTGGACGGAGCTGAAGCAGGAAGCTGCAGCGATCTGAGATCTGATGCAAAATCATCAGATTCATCATAAAAACAAAACAGCAGCTTTATGAACCAGAGACAAGCAGCTGGTCCCAGTTTGACCCCGTTAATGGGACTGAGAGCAGATCAGCTTTCACTGCTGCTGGCCATTGAGGAAGAGGAGGAGGAAGACCTCCCTGACATTCAGTCAACATTCAAACTGATTGTGTCACATTCCTGCTCCGGCCTCCACCAATCACAGAACTGGAAACCTTCCTCTGACCAATCTCAGGCTCACACTGAAGGGGCGGGGCCTCCCTGAGGTTCCCTAACGAGCTCCGCCGCCTGGCCTTTGCCCCCAGCTGGCAGACTCACCCGTTCCAGCTCAGCACTCTATGGAAACTAGTAAAACATGAAGGAAACCAGTCCAAACATGCAGCCACCACATGGACTCAAACAGTCATCCATCCCTCATTGTTCCCACTGAATGTGTCACAGAAACGCTAGGAAAGACAAATCGTCTCTATGACGACCAGGGCGACTTGCACAACCAACAACCACAGCTCTGATTTGCTCCTGAAACCACGCCCCCCTAGTATGCATGTGCATCTGGAGGGGAGGGGCGCAGCAGAACATGGTGAGAGGAGCTAACAGAAAGGGGAGGAGCCTAGCATGATGGGATGAGCTAACAGAAAGGGGAGGAGCCCAGCATGATGGGATGAGCTAACAGAAAGGGGAGGAGCCTAGCATGGCGGGAGGGGTTAACAGAAAGGGGAGGAGCCTAGCATGGCGGGAGGGGTTAACAGAAAGGGGAGGAGTCTAGTCTTGCAGGATCAGAGCAGCAGC